GTTTTGACATGTAAATTATATAAAGGCACGTGATAGAACTTGTATGGTTCATGTATCATGTAGAAAATGTTATTATACATGTTTTGGGATGGATTTGAGAAGGTTTGGGATAAATTGGAAATGAAAAACCGATGAAATATGAAATTTTGGACAAAACCTACCGATAGCAGGCAATAACTACCGGTAGTTAATAGGTAGTACTTGTTCAGCAGGCAATAACTACCAGTAGCTAACAGGTAGTACTTGTACAACAGACAATAACTACCAGTAGCTAACAGGTAGTACCTGTCCAGTAGGAGGAAGCTATCGGTAGCTTACATGTAGAACTTCTACCGGTAGTTATAACAAACAACTACCGGTAGCTCTTCCAAAAATCTGAAAAGTCTAAAATTGTTTTGCTAACCTTTTGAACTTTATTTTCTTAAGTTCCAATGATACAAAGGGACATTACATGAGGTATATTGAGGCTCATTGAACCTTAATAGGATTAAATGAATTAAAGGAAATACTGATCCTTGAATGGGATATAATCTGTGATACAGGGATGTGATAAACGTGATGTCGAACCATGCGACAATCACGGGTATTTTTGCGGATTGACAGATGGTAAATGGGACCCCTGATTTTAGGGGCGTCATAGCTTGGTATTAGAGCCTAGGTATACGGATTACCTAGGGCTTGATGGGCATTCGGTCTAGACCATTGCATGTATTGTACATTTCATCTTATGTGCTGACATTGTGTTACTTGATTACATGCTATGTGATTATGTGAATGATATACATGGTAAAATGTATATGGAAAGAGACACTAGGGTTAGAAAACATAACCTTGGGGGTCAGAAAGGAAATAAACGGGATAGTTCAAGGTATAAATGTTTACTTGTGGGTGGTATAAACTCTACTAGGGAAACAAGGAGAAAAATCTCAATGTTTCAAGTTGGTCCCTATCATGGGATACTAAATAAATGTTCTATTACTATCTGACATGTGTGTAGATGACAATTAGAGGGAGGGGACATTGGGGTGGATGGAACAACCAACCACCATCGGCTTTTGACCAACAAGCGTTTATGGAGGCTATTGGTGCTGCGATTGCTACCATTGCACAAGCCAGTGTTACAGCCGCTACTATTGCATAGACTGGTGCAAGTGGAGGACAAGGAAGCTCAAGTAACCTCTAGAAGTTCAAGGCACACAATCCTATGGTCTTCATAGGAGGGGCGGATCCTATGGTGGCTGACCATTGGTTCACGCAAGTCGATAAGGTATTGAGGGCTATGGAGATCACCTCCATGCCACGAAGATAACCCTAGCTACGTTTCAGCTAGAGGGAGAATCCCAATTATGGTGGGATTGGGTGAAGGACTCCAAGAACTTGGAGGCTATGACTTGGGTAGAGTTCAAAGAACTCTTCATGGGAAAGTATTTCCCGGCGGCCGCAAGGCATGCAAAGGCCCAAGAGTTTTTAGATTTGTGACAAGGGACAATGTCGGTGATGGAATACATGGCTAAGTTCATGGAATTAGCATATTTCGCCGATGATTATGTGGCCACAGACTTGGCCAAGGTGAGGAAGTTCGAGGATGGTTTAAAATTGTCCATCTGGGGCAAAATTGTGGGGCTTCTTTTGCAAGACTTAGACTCGATGGTCACCATAGCTATGGCCAGTGAGAGGGAGGTAGAGGATGCACGGAACATCCGGGAGGCAGGTGTGAAAAATAAGATGAATAAGGGCCAATCCTCTTCTTCTAGCTCGGAAAAGATGTAGAGAACTTCTACTCCTCAAGGATAGGGCCGTGGTTATCAAGGCCAAGGTCAGGGTCAATCCTCCCATGGTGGGAGAAATCAACGGACTAAATATCAGGCGAGGCAGAGGACATGTTTCCATTGCCACCAGTTGGGACACATGAAACGAGATTGCCCCCAGAGGCAGGGATCCCAAGGCTATGGTTCATCTCAATCACATTCGTCGGTGGGACAACTACAGACACAGTACACTTCTCACTACCCCCCTATGGGCCAGGGAAGCCAGTACCAGTTTCAGGGAGCTACACAAGCCCCTACTACTTCTCGTGCAGGAACTCCGCAATCAGGCCAGATGGGCCAGGGCTCACAGGTCGGGACTTTAGGGACTTAGGGGGCGTGTCTACGCCATGGTGCCACAAACTGAGCCGACAGATCCGTCAGTGATACAGGGTACATTCTTACTCTCTTGCTTATGGGCTACAATATTATTTGATTCTGGTGCATCACATTCTTTTATTGCTGCATCATGTGTGAAAGACTTGGGCTTAGAGGTTGAGACCTTGGAAAAGCCACTATATGTGAGTTCTCCCCTTGGAGCTAGGGTGAGAGTTGATCAGATGTGTCGTGACTGTGAGTTAGAGATCTTAGGGATTCTACTCACTGTTGACCTTAAGGTCATGGACATGTCGGAGTTTGATATGATCCTTGGGATAGATTGGTTAACGGGCACATAGGGTCATCATTGATTGTGATAGCAAGAGGGTCACTGCTTACACACCTGATGGTGTATGTTTCAAGTTTTAGGGGAAAAAGTATGATACTTTACCCCAAGCCGTGTATGACTCAAGATGACACGGACAGTTGATGGGTTGGCTTGCAAGCCATACCCTAGAGGACGAGGCTAGACAGGAGTTGGGTCTACCTCGAGTTATATGTGAGTATGAGGATGTTTTTCAGATGAACTACCGGGATTACCTCCACATAGGGATGTAGACTTCAACATTGAGTTGCATCTCGGTACGTCACCTATTTCTATGACTCCACATAGCATGACACCAACAGAATTATAGGAACTCAAGGTCCAGTTGCAAGAATTATTGGACAAGAGCTTCATTAGACCGAGCACTTCACCTTAGGGCGCTCTGGTGCTATTTGCCAAGAAGAAAGATAAGACTCTTCAGTTGTGTATCGACTATCAACTATCGACAGTTGAACCGGGTTACTATCAAGAATGATACCCTTTGTCGAGGACTGATGATTTGTTTGATCAACTAAGAGGGGCAAGGGTCTACTCCAAAATAGATCTTCGCACCGGTTACTATCAATTGAGGGTTAGGGAGGAGGATATCCCTAAGACAGCGTTCAGAACGCGGTACGGGCATTTCGAATTCACAGTGATGCCATTCGGATTGACAAATTCCTCGACGGAATTCATAGATCTCATGCATAGGGTGTTTCAACCCTACCTTGATCAGTTCATCGTGGTCTTTGTTGACGACATATTGATATACTCCAAGTCTGAAGAGGAGCATGAGGGTCACTTGAGGGTTGTTCTCTAGACGTTGAGAGATCATCAGTTTTACGCTAAGTTCAGCAAATATGAATTTTGGCTTACTAAGGTGAAATTTTGGGAACATGTAGTGTCGGCTTCGGGTGTATCCGTGGACCCATAAAAGGTTGAAGCAGTTATGAATTAGACTAAAGTCAGTCTTCGAGATACGCAGTTTCTTGGGATTGGTAGGATATTACCGGAGATTCATCGAGGACTTCTCTAGATTAGCTGCTCCTATGACCAAGTTGACCCGGAAAGAGGTCAAGTTTGAGTGGAATGAAGCGTGTGAGAAGGCATTCCAGGAGTTGAAGTGGAGACTTACTTCTGCTCCTATTTTGATAGTCCCGAAAAGGGAACAGGGATACACGGTTTATTGTGATGCCTCAAAGGACGGATTTGAATGTGTTTTGATGCAGTCCAAGAGGGTGGTAACTTATGGTTCGCGGCAGTTAAAGAATCACGAGCAGACACTACAACACAAAGCATTTTTTGCGACATTTTTTTTTGCAATGATTTTAAATTTGTCGCAAAAAGTTTAGGATTAGCGACACTTTTATATTTTTGTCGCAAATTTCTATTTTGGTAATATTTTTGGCGACATTTTGCACGTTTTATTGTTTTTGGCAGGAGAAATAGCGGGAATTGGCAATTGTTTACGACAAGTATTTTTCGTCGCGAATAGTTTTATATCGTCCCCAAAATAAGTAATCTAAAATTTAAAGTAAAATAAAGTCTAATTTTCAATTTTTGACATTTTTTGCGACTTCTTTTGCAAATGTCGCGAAAAGGTCAGTCTCTCATTCTTTTGGCGGGAGTAATTGCGGGAAATGACAAATTTAATTATTGTTAGTGACAATTTTGAAAAAACGTCGCAAATAAACTTTTCGGCAAATAAAAAATCTAATTATTTTCGTGACATTTGTCAAACACGTCGCTAATAGTAAACTTCGTAAATAAAAAAATTTAAAAATAACAATCTATTTCTTTTTTCTCGACGTATTTAGAAAACGTCGCAAATAGTAAACTTCGTAAATAAAAAATTTAAGAAATAACAATCAGCTCCTTTTTTTTGAAAACATCGCCAAGAAACGCTTCCGTAAATAAAAAATTTTAAAAATAACAATTTAATTAATTTGTTGTGACATTTTCAAAAAACGAAAACGTTGCCAATAAACTTTTTACGTAAATAAAAGATTTCTATTTTGGCATTTTGGGCTACGTTTTTTATAAAACGTCGCGAAAAATCGATTCTCTCCTAATTATTTTTTGGCGGGAGAAATGGCGGGAATTTGCAAATTAATTAAAAATAAAATTTTAATTAATGTTTCACGACGTTTTGAAAAAATGTCGCCAATAAGTTTTTTACTCAAATAAAAACTTTAAAATATAACAATTTAATTAATTTTTGGCGACGTTTTTGAGAAACGTCGCCAATAAACTTTTTACTTAAATAAAAAAATTAATATATGACCATTTAATTAATTTTTCGTGACGTTTTTGGAAAAATATTGTTACATATATTCGGGCAATTGAATGTCCTAATTCATGGATCTCAATAAACCCACGCAAACCTGGATTCAAATTAACACCAATTTTTGGCTTATAATCAAACAGGGCATCATGGTAAGAAAAAGTAGAAAGAAGATTCAAGAGAAATAATTAATAAAAAAAATTAAAGGAAGAGATATATAGAAATCACCATGGAAGTGGAAATGGAAACACCATAGATCAAGCTGGTGGTTCTAAGCCAAGACTTTCCGGCGACAATGCAATAGAGATTGGTGATGGAAAGAGGCCACAAGAAGAGAAGCTCGAGCCAGACAAGGCCGACGAAGAAGTTGGGCTCCTCAGAGATCAGGTAATCGCCATACTCGCGGCTGTACCAGATGTTGAGGTCGACGAGATAATTGGGGTAGAGGTTTTGAGGGAGGCAACTCTGGGTGTCAAAGAGTGGAGCTACCACAACTATGAGCAAGAAGAAGAATAAGAGTATTACGTCTATGAGCTTGATATATGGCGGTAGCTCTCAAACTTTTTATGTAAATAAAAGATTTAAAAAAACATTTTAATTAATTTTTCATGACGTTTTTTAAAAAACGTCCGTCGCCAATAACGTTTTTACTTAAACAAAAACTTTAAAAAATAACAACTTAATTAACAATTTGAGAGAGAAGAAGCTGACATTTTTAATCAAAGTAATGTACTGAAAATCATTTCTGGTGGGTTCCTTAGAGAGGGATATCTGAGAAGAAGAAGAATAAAGGATTGAAAGAGAGAAGCGAAACGGGGATAAGGTTGGGTTCTTGCTGTGGGGCCGAGTTTGACCTCCCAGTTCCAACTAATCTCACTCATTTTCACTATTTTTCTTTTTTTTGAAGAATTACATTTCCATTTTTATTATAACAGAAGATATATTTTTCCAAAAAATAAAAGCATTAGCATAATGACACTTTTGCAAAAAATTAGGATAATGTCACTTTAACAATTTAATTATTTTTTGCGCAAATAAAATTTTACGTAAATAAAAAATTTAAAAAACAATAATTTAGGTATATTTTCGCGACATTTTCAAAAAGGCGTCGCCAATAATTTTGTTCGTAAATAAAAAATTTACAAAATAATAATTGAATTAATTTTTCGCTACGTTTAATAATTTTTTCATAAATAAAAAAGTTAAAAAATAATAATCTAATGAAATTTTCCCGACATGTTTAAGAATACGTCGCTAATAATTTTTTAACATAAATAATCAGAGATTTTTTACATCCTTTGCCCATTTTGTGTATTTTTATTTCCCCCTTTTGTTTTGCGGCTTTGCCCTAAATTGATCCACCAGACCAAACCAAACCAAACACCAGCGACTGAAGCACTGTGCATAGCCTCCACCTCCGCCACCAACGTCTAAGCTCAGCCTCCACCACCGACGATTGACTCTGTCACTCCAGTCCAGCATCCACCAGTGAGCAGCAAGCAGTAGGCGATCAACAAGCAGAAGCAATCAACAACGGGGTTCACTTTTTTGGTGGTGCCTTAATCAATTTTCAGACCAGGCAGTAGCAATATTCACAGCCTCCACCACCNCCACCAACGTCTAAGCTCAGCCTCCACCACCGACGATTGACTCTGTCACTCCAGTCCAGCATCCACCAGTGAGCAGCAAGCAGTAGGCGATCAACAAGCAGAAGCAATCAGCAACGGGGTTCACTTTTTTGGTGGTGCCTTAATCAATTTTCAGACCAGGCAGTAGCAATATTCACAGCCTCCACCATCAACTGAGTCCAACTTCCAGGAATCCAGTCCAGTCCAGTCGACTACAGTCTAGTCCACCGGCAACGAGTTTCCCTGTCTCTCTCTCTTTCCCCAGTCCAATCGACTCCAGTTCACCACCAGTGAGTTTATCCTTTCCACTATTTGTTGTTTTGGTATTTTTTTCCCAACCCAATAATTAATCGGGCATCCTAATAGTCTCAAACCTACCACCAACTACCCTTCTAGATGACAGATGATACTACAATCCCAAATGTTTAGTCTAGTGGTAGTACAAACCACTTTTTAAGTGTTTTAACAAGTCTTAAGTCAAGGATTCGAATATCCCAGGGAAAATGCTAGGTTGCCGAAAAAACAATAGAGACAAATGATACCACTGGACTACAAGAAAGCGTTCATAGTCAAAAAAAACAAAATCTGCTTAATTTCGTAAAATTGAGATAGCCTCTCAAACCCAATCCTTTAAAGATGAATCCTTGCGATCATTATCAACAAGATTACATAGTTCCACTTACAACCACATACACACAAAAGATCAAACTGCCCATTGAGAGTAGGTGAAAAAAGTTCAGCATAAGACACTGTGTGGTTGCTTGAAAAAATTCCTTGTTGTTTCATAACCTCTAAACATCACCTTTTACCATGTATAGTATATGGATGAAGGGGAGCGTCACTCTCCTTGGGATGAGGTCAAAAGAAAGGGAAACGAAATGGGGGATGAATGAAATGTCAAATGTGTGTGTGTGAGAACAAAAATACTCCCCAAGCATAAGGAAACTTTCACGGATCGTGTTTTACTTGGTGGTATTCCAAGGTTGTTTCCACGGGGAAGGAAGTAAACAAAGGGGAAGGTGATTTTGGGAGAAAAAAGTGTAAAATCTTTGATTGTTGGAAATTATTTTGATGCTAGTAAAATGAGAAACAAATGTTGGCAAATCCAAGAGGTCACTCCAATAGGAATACCGTCTCAACTCGAAACCCTCCCCAATAGAGCGTGAATGAACAATTGATTTTGCGGGAAGCTAGGGATAAGATTGGTGAGTATCTAAGCATAAACCGTGACTAGGCCTACGGAATATCAAAGACTCACCAAGTTATCCACCCTCAACCCAGTCAAACCGAACCATTGAACTCTGAAAGAGGGGAGGAGAATGAGTTGAAATGGTATACCCAAATGGAGGTTCCTCTTGGTTTTGCCAACTAAGAGATTTAGCTATTCCTGCTTAAAATAAAGACAACAATTTGATGAGAAAACATTATGAAGAAATAAATACTAGAGCTAAGCATAAACAAAATGCATAAATATAAATTCTGGATAATCACCTCTTACTAAAGATTGGATGAGAAACTACTCACTCTTCATGGCTTTGTTAAAGCTAGAAAAATGAGTGATGCTCGTCCCTCTAAGTAGAGGAGTTACAAGGTAAAACACTTTACACAAGGAGCCGATCTTCGACAAAGAATGGTTGAATCATGTTCCACCCTTAACGGCCTGGGTAAAGCTCTAGAAAAGTGGAAGAGTTTCACTCCTCTAAGGGAAGAAGGAAGCTCAAGCAATGGAAGTAAAAGAAAGCAATAACACAATAAAAGAAAGCAATAATTAAAGTAAACGAAAGCAAAAAATTAAAAGAAAGCAATAATACAATAAAAGAAAGAAATACTTAAAGAAAACAATAAGCAATAATACTTTTGGAGGATTTTCCACTACCAAAAGATGAATGCTTTACAAGTTCTAAGGGGTGGTATTTATAGGCAATAAGGGAGGGTGAAAGTCTTGTTAGGTCGCTTTGCATTACATGAAAGTCTTGTTTGGTGCCCTTGAATTATATGAAAGTCTTGTTTTGTGACTTTGAATTACATGAAAGTCTTGTTTGGTGGCCTTGAATTCTTTGATCCCCCTTTGTTTTGAGTTTTGATAATGGGCACCCTAGTAGTTTGTAGCTTTAATGCAATTGGCTCCCCAGTAGTTTGTAGTTATGACGCACAAAACCCTAAAAAGAACAACAATTAATGCATTATCCTTTATTCACACACTAACCCTAATTTGACTTATTTTAACTAGTTTAACTTTGTTTAACTAACAAAATTGACCTATTAACTTAATTAAATTATGCATTAATTAGGGTTAATCATATCCCCTGATGAGTGAGTTTTATATCTACGAATTGAATACTTTCGGGTTAATGAAATTGTAAGTTTTCAAATATTTTATGTTCATTTTTATTTGTTTTGTGTGTTTTGATGTTATTTTGTAGGGATGATCATTTGGAAGAAATCATGATCAATTGGGAGGAAACAAGGTCAAAATTGGAGCCTAAGTGTTAGATTTTTAAAGAGGAAGCTAAAGGGCATTGTAATGGAGTAATTATAGCGTAAATAATGGATTTTAGAGCCTTGCAACTAAGTGTGGATCAGTGGTGAAGAGATGAACACATTCCATGAGGATTTGGAGGCTAAAAAGTGAAAGCAATCAAGGAGGTATTGGTGTTTGGTAACATAGGCATCAACACCCACACTATTTTGTACCAGTACCTTGATTTTCTGAATTTTTAAACATGACCCACTTCGAATCTGACAATATGTAAAACATGAAAGTTGTAGATCTAGATGTCTTATATCTTGTTGCAAAATTTCAGCTCAATCAGGCTAATGTATCAAAAGTTATGATGATTCGACAAAAACTGGTCCGGAGCAGGCCTGCAGGGGGGGCATGCCTAGGCACCATTTCTAGCGCCTAGGCGCTTGTGTTGGTCCATGACGCAAATTTTGACTTGTTTTGACCCGAAATTGGACTCTAAAGCTACATATATGCTAGGGTTTGTGTGTGGCTGATTGATTCTGACTTTTGGGGGCTGAAAACATTAGAGAAAGACCAAATTGGAAGAAAATTGAAGACAAGAATCAAAGGAATCGACACGAAGAAGATTGGACTTAAAGGCTAGAGAAGGATTAAAGATTGCACCTAAGTTTTCATTCTTTTCTCTTGCCTTTACTTCTTGATTTTCTAAGATGTTGTTTAATTTTAGAATGATGTCTTTCAGTTAAATTATGAACTAAATCTTTATTAAGATTGCAAAGAAACCTACGTCTAGTTAAATTAATCTACTCTCGTTTCTAGTTCTTATTGCTCTTATATGAGTTGTTTGTCATATTTTGTGATTGATGTATGATTGTGTGGCCAACAATTAATTTGATAACCTAGATAAAATTGAGAGATGAATTCTAGGTTTAGATCTGAATATGATGACATACGTCTGGTTAATTCTTCTTAGGAATGAATTGCTGGGTTTGTGTAATGGATAGGAATATACTTATATGCCGTGTGTAACTTTTATGAGAGTTTGAACTTAATGAATCTATTCCAANGGCTAACGAAATGACGTCAATGGTATTCAAAAGCTATCCCCTTTTTAATGTAGTGTAGCACACCTCTTTCTTACTTTTTGATCTTTTGCCTAGAAATTGTATTTCTTTCTTTCATTTTTCTCATTTTTCACTTTCTTGGAAATTCTCTGTTTTTTTTCCNTAATTTTATCTAACTATCGGAAGAGGTTTGATAAATAACTTTGAGTTTTCAGTGAATAACTTATTTTGATCAATTTACTAGAAAGAGAGTTAAAAAGATTTATACGAAGCATTAGGGAAAGTTGTAATCTTAAGTTCTTTTATCTGGTAAATTTAACCCTTGATTGTTAAGTTTAGATTTAGTTTTAATTTAGT